ACTTATACATGTATATTTGATGTCATCCAAAATACTGTTTACAAGTTTTGGTGTTTAAAGGATAAGATTCTCTTATCTGTCCAAATCCAGTTATTTCTAACTCTACCATATCTCACCTAAACCAGAATTATGAGCTATTTCCTGTAATGACAATATAATGCTTTTTTATAATAAGGATTTGAAGCCCTGAGAGGGGCTGAAACTAACACTCATTTTGTGAGAGTGATTCAGGCATTGAGTAAGAATGTGACTTGAATGCTGAATTCATTTATTCTCTGATTTGGTACTCAGAGAGAGTCACATTTTAAACTTTACCGAGGCACCCTCAACTGCCCATAGGCTTTTTCTCATATTTCTTCCATTGGCTTAGGAGCCACCTGTGATCCTCTGTGGAAGCCTGAGCTGTGTGGGGACGCAGCTCAAGGCTTGGGGTCCCAAACAGGAAGTGACTTCAGTCCTCAGAGGAGTCACTGCCAGCTTGTCGCCTGGGTTCACTGTGCTGATGAACCAGCCTAGCCTATTCGTCACCTCTGAGTCAGAAGTCTGGGCAAGGCACAGAGGCTGGTGTGGAGATTCCAGTCTGGCAGCCAGTCCTGTTCGCATGGCCATGAGCTTTGTGACCGGCTGCTGTGAACTGGCAGGCCTTGGGTGGGAGGTGATGCTGGTTGGGCCAGGGCTTTCTGCTGCCGTCATATGCATCTGAATTACTTCCCTCCTTCTGCTGGTCGATTAATAGTCTGGCCACGGACCTCTGCCAGCAGGAAGCTCTGTTTTGTTCACTCCTCCCTGACCCCCCACTCCACGACACAGTATGATTGACTTAGCTCAAAGCCAAGAGGCAATGAGGCTGCAGAGCCCGTAAAGCAGTCAGAAACATGTCTCACTTAGTCCTTGTAATTGCAATGCCTTGGCTTGGCCTTTGCTGCCCTTCCCTGTACTGGCCCTTAACACGTTTCACGGAGGGATGCTTGCTAATTGGGAAATTTACTACATCCGCCTTCTTTGGGGATGATTCCTGTGGTGGTAGAACTACTAAATAGGGCACTAAAATGGGGTAGAGTGCTGGACTGGGAATCAGGAAATCAGGAAAACTGGGTCCTGGTCCTGGATCAGCTGTGGACGGCTGTGTGATCTTAGATCTCTTATTCATCTGCCAGAGGGGGAGGGGGCGGTGGTTGCATTCCATGATCTCTAAGGTCTAAGCGCTAAACCTTCCATTCTCTTTCCCTGAAATATTTTGGTTCCTTTCTGAAAACATCTTTTCTTTTCCTCAGTATCCATGTCTCCCTTCACCTGAGTCTCTCTTTTGGTGAAGTAGGTATTACTTTCTTTTGAAAGCTGCCCTGGGAATATGGAAAGATTGTATTAGAATTGCATGAGTTCTGGGAGTTTTGGTTTTGGGACTGATGTATGGAATTCAGGATTAATAGAGTTATTGTAGTCCCATCTGGAATTTTAATCACTGAATCACAGGGAGATCAGATCAGCCCAGATAACCGTCCATGACACAGTGAGATTTGGAACTAGACATCACAGCCTCAGTTTACTCTCTTGCAAATGACTTGAGTGGGTACAGAAGGAATATGCTGTGCCATCACCTCTCATCCTTAGCAGTGCCCAGAAAAAGTAGGGAGAGGCTAGAAAGGGTGTGTCAACAAACTTGGACACGGACACCAGACAAATGGCAGACTTTATTAACTGCCCAGTGTTTGGTGACTGAGCCAGGCGTTATGGAGCGGGGAGACTAAGAGGACAGCTTTCTACAAACAAACACTGCCTGTTCTTACTTTTGGGCCTACATCAAGTTATTTCTCTAACTGGCGTGCCCTCCTTCTCTTAGCTTATTCAAAGTCCTACCCATCCAGCAAGTTTCACCTCTTCCATTAAGTTAGCAAACTTTTACTGAGAACCTCCCAGTTAACCCAGCCCTGTTTGAGGGGTACAAAGATAAATAAAGGCTAGTCCCTATCCTCAGGCTGACTGTTCTATATTGTCCTGCTTGGGTCATTGTTGCTTCGTGTATGTTCCTTTTTCCTCTCCAGCTAAAACTTAAGCTCCTTGAGGGCAAAGGCTGTGTTTCAGGGGTCCCACAACCACTCGAAGTTGAGTGATTCACTAGAAGGACTCACAGGACACAACAGCAGGTTTTACTCACAGCTAAGGTTTATTACAGCAAAGGATACAGAGAAAGGCAACAGGAAAAATATATGCATCGCTCAGGCACAGGCTTTTGAGTCCGTCCCCATCCAGGGCCACACAGGAGCAGCTAGAAGCAAACTACCGGGACACCTGTGACGTGTCTCTGCCCAGGAAAGCCCACACAAGTTTCAGGGTCAGAGGCTTTTATGAACTGAAACTCAGGATGCCAACATCGAAACCAGATACATCATGAATCTTGTTAAATAATCCTGAGAAGTCCTGATGAGCTGGTACAACATGCCCCATTGCTCTGGACATATGAAACATCATAATCAATCAGAGACATAAAGAACCTTCTGAGGGCCATATTCCCAGGGGTAGGTCTAGGGTCAATTATGATTCCAGGCTCCCCTGGAGACATGCAAGGACTGATGAACTAGACCTGTTAACTCTTTCTTCCAAACTGTGCTTACACCTTTCATGTATCCTCTCAGAATGCTTAGCCTGGCGTAACACAAGACCTGACCTCTCTGAGCTCAAGACTTATATATATATTTTACTATCTACTTACCATGTCCAGTCGCACGGATACTAGTACCTCACTGTTTCAAAATCTGAACTCGAATTCTGCCCCCTTACCCTCCTCTTCTCATCTCAGTAACCGTCAGCATCGGTTCACTATTGTTCAAGCCCCCAAATCTGGGTGTTACCCTTGATTCTCCTCTTCCTCTCCTCCCACAGCCAATCAGTAATTCCTATTGATTCTAACTCTGAGGCATATTCCAAATGTGACCATCTCTCATTCTCTCAACTCCCCTAGTCTAAACCACCATCATCTTTCGCCTGGATTACTTCCTTCTAAATGTTTCTATTTGCCTCCCCTTTGGCCTGTTCTCCACTCACCACTCAGAGTGATCCTTCAAAATGTGTACCAGATTGTGTCACTCCCCACTATTCACAACCTCCAATGGCTTCTCAACATGCTTGAATTAAAAGTCAAACATTTCACTCCCCTGCTCACTCATCATGCTCTACTCTCAGTCTCAGTGAGTGAGTCTGTTTACTCCTCATGGGATATTCCTTCTCCCAGGACTGTTCTTCCCCTAACTCTTCAAATGCTTGGATCCTTCTCATCCTTTACGTTTACTTCCACTGTCAGCCCCTCAAGAAGATCTTCTCGACCACCCTATCTAAGGTAGCCTTGCCCCTCCCTTCATCTGAAACCATGATTATTTATTTGTTGATATATTTGTTGTCACTCAACACTGACTAGAATGTAAGCTCGTGAGAGAAGATCCTTTTCTGTCTTGTCCACAATGATATCCCCAGCACCTAGCACTTTGCCAGAATCAGAGTAGGCATTCAAGAAATAGTTGTTGAGGAATGTAGTAGATAATTAATAAATAATCAGTATTTGATTACTTAAAAGTGATGAACTTGTCTCTGCCCTTAAAGGTTTACATTCTACTGAAGAGTTGAGTGGAAAAAGGCAAAATATACAGAAAACTTTTCTGTGCTTTCCGGTACCCAACATAGGACATATCAGCATTCTGGACAGAAGAAACCAACAAGCAACAGAGAGGCCACCTCGAGCAGCTAGAATCTCTCCAGCCCAGTGTTCTGTTTGATGGGCTTCTAGGGGCTGTTTGAAGGGAGATACCAGCAGCCTGGAAATTCCAAATGGAAGGCAAGGATCATGGGCAGTTCATGTCTTCTCCAGGGTAGTGATGGTGGTGTTTTTGCCAGAGCAGCACCCACAGTATGCTTGCACGGTGCTCCTGGCTTTTTCAGAGCCTGCCTGGCTTTATGGGTCTCGAGATCCTGTGGACTGTCTAATATTGTTTAATAAATTTCCTTTTTACTTAAACTAGTCAGAGTGGATTCTGTAGTTTGCAACTAAGAACTCTGACCTATCTAATAGGTTGTGAAAAAGAAAAGATGGAAAATCAGAATCCTGACTTGTAAGCTTCAATGGAAAATGTTAAAATTATATTGACAAGGGAAACATTACTTTAAAACTGAACCAATACATGTAACTATATCAAAGTGATATGCTAAGTTTGAGGCAGAGTAATTTATTTACTCAGGTGACTGGGGAAATTGTATATGTTTTTTTTTGTGTGTGTGTGAGGAAGATCAGCCCTGAGCTAACATCCATGCTAATCCTCCTCTTTTTGCTGAGGAAGACCGGCTCTGAGCTAATATCTATTGCCAATCCTCCTCCTTTTTTTTCCCCAAAGCCCCAGTAGATAGTTGTATGTCATAGTTGCACATCTTTCTAGTTGCTGTATGTGGGACGTGGCCTCAGCATGGCCGGAGAAGCGGTGCGTCGGTGTGCGCCCAGGATCCAAACCCGGGCCGCCAGTAGCGGAGCGTGTGCACTTAACCGCTAAGCCACGGGGCCGGCCCTGTATATGTTTTTATGTGTCTGTAAAGCACCATTTAAAAAAAAAATGAGAATTTGCTTTTTTAAGTTATATGCTATTATAATCCAGTGTAATTTTTATTACGAGTATATCAGTTACTGAGTGAAAGAGACAAAATATTTTAAAAAGGCAAAACTAAACTCTAGTGTTTAAGGTTGCAACTTGGGTGATAAAACTATAAAGAAAAGCAAGGAAGGAATTACTATAAAAGTCACCACAGTGGTTAATTTTGGGATGGGATACGTGTCAGGCTTCTGAGTTCTATTTCTTGACCTAGATGATAATAAAAAGGTATTTACTTTATAATACTCTATTAATATATGCAGCATTCTATATGTCATATTTTGCAATTAAAAATGGTTAAAAAATAAATGTATCAACTACTCGAATGCGAATTGTTTTTATGCAGATGTCCCCTGTGTGTTTTCATTTCAGGATCCCTCAAGACTTCATTATGGATTTTGTCTCTGGGAACACGTGAGTTTCTGTATAAGTTTAAGAGAGTTAGCTTAAAATGTGTATCATCCCTTATAATCGAATTCATACAAATGGAAGCAAAATACCATTTTTCCCTTTCAAATTGGCAGAGACTTAAAAAAAAACGTCATTACTCAGTGTTGGTGAAAGTATGAAGAGATGGGTACTTATGTGCCCTGCTGGTAGAACTGTAAATGATCACAACCTTTCTAGAAAACCGTTTTGCAGTCTGTAACACGGGCCTAAAAAATGTTCATGCCCTTTTACCCAGTAAACTCAATTCTAGGAAATTTATGTTAAGGAACTGATCAGAGATGTACACGAAGATATATGTGCAAGGATGTTCCTTGCAGCAGTTTCATAATAGTGAAATCTTGGAAACAGCATCAATGTTTAACACTAGAGAAAGAGTACCATCAAAAGATGAAATATCATGTAGCTATCAGTATGGATGGTTTTGAATATAGGCACATAGAATAATGATGATGATGATGATGGCCAACATTTATTGATTTGCCAGGGACTACTAAACCTCCTTACATAAATTACATAAATTCTCTCATCTTTGCAACAACACTTTACCACATAATCTTAAACTATAGTTTACAGTTTCCAACACATTCAGGACTACAGTTATTCTCATATTGCAGATAAGAAAACTGAGGTTCAGGGGCCGGCCCAGTGGCATAGCGGTTGAGTTCGCACGTTTGGCTTTGGCGGCCTGGGGTTCCACAGTTCAGATCCTGGGCGTGGACCTACTCACCACTTATCAAGTCGTGCTGGGGCGACATCCCACATAGAAGAGCTACAGCTCTACAACTATGATGCACAACTATGTACTGGGGCTTTGGGGAGGAAGAAAAGAGGAAAAAGAGGAAGATTGGTAACAGATGTTAGCGCAGGGCCAATCTTCCTCAAAAAAAAAAAGAAAGAAAACTGAGGTTCAGAAAGGTTATATAACTTGCCCAAGGTCACACTGTAAGTAAACAATAAAGCCAGGGCTTGAATCCAGGCCTGAATACTCCAAATTTACATAAAGGCTGTTAATAGTAATCTTTAGGTGATTGGATTATAGTGATTTTCATTTTCTACTTTAGATTTTCCTTTATGCTCTTAATTTTATACAGTAACCACTTATCAATTTAAAATCAGAATAAAAACAGTAGCTCCTCCCAGATAGTCCTGCCACACAGAGATACACTGACTCCTGCTGGAAGTGTCCAGGAATGAGGGTAGGGCCAATGGTCTTGAGGCAGGAAATACTAAATAGTTTCCTTGGGCGTGGCTTCCCTTGCTCCATGACTAGTCCAGGTTTTTCCTAAGAACACTGCCACCTAACTACAGACTGTAAAAGCAGCTGCCTAGGTTTGGGTTCCTTGTTTCTGTGCAAGTAGAATCTTGCTGAGGAAGGGAATGGCATATGGGCAGTGACGAAGGGCGAGAACTGCCTGCTTTCTGAATTTCCTACTAAAATTGCCTACATAAATTTCTGTGTTTTGCACTGCTTGCCTCATAGCTGGGTATTATGCAACAAGAGTTCTGGTTTGGCACCTCTTGTATGCTTCTCTACCACCTCTGCCTCCATACCAGGGGTCAGGTAGCCTCCTTCTGGCTCTGATTCGGCGGCAACCTTGGTTAGTCCAGGAGAACTTGTGGCTCATCAGAGCTTTGTACTATTTCCATAAGTATATCAGCTACTCCACCTTCCACCTGATCACAACCAGTCTTTTCCCCAAACTTAGATCTTTTGAGGGAATATGAGGCAAGAGAATGCAGCAGACTCAGTGTGACTTCTTCTCTAGGCCTGGGAAAACTTACTCAATACTCCTGCCTTACTAAGAAGAAATCAGTATATGAAAGAAAGATACTCAGGGAGTTTGTCCCAGGGTTAACTGAGAGACATGGAAATGAAACCTAGCTCTCCTGCTTCTTAGGCCCCCCTATGCTGTCTATATTTAGCCAAGTTGCCTTGAGCCTTGTCCACCTTGTCTGAAAGCCAAAGTAGGCACACAGTTTGCTCATAAACATTCCTGTGCTTGCCAGCTCACGCCAGCCAACCATTTAGATGTTGGTTTTAAAATGCGAGCCTCCCCTTGCACCCAGCTCCTAGGGCCTGCAGGGAATAAACACTAAGGGATCAACAGCCTGAGTTTTTCCCAAAGCCAAGTGACCTCAGCCAAACGCCCTAAAATGAAAGGCGTGTCTCTTACTGCTTCATCTTGGCAGGGCTCAGCGAATGACTCCCTCTCAAACCCACTGTTCCTAGTCACAGTTCTTTGAGTGTGTTGACCTACTTTCTCCCCTTCAGAGGGAAGACAGAAACCAATAAATGTGTCCAGTGAGTACTCTTGCTTTCAGGAACATTGATTCTGTCTTCTGGCCCGTAGTCCTTTCCATGCTCCCTTATCACTCTGCTATAACCACTTCAGGCATAACTGAACCAGAACCCTGCGTCTTGCTTACTGTCCCCATTTTACAGCTGTGTTTTCAGAGGGAGTATGGCTCACACATCACAGGGATGGGGCAGAGCCTTCTCAGACTTCCTTTCCCGTTACAGCTCATTGTTAAGTGGCATGAGCTAGACTGAAGTTGCTTCTGCATGAGAATCTTTTGGGAATCAGCAGGGTATCTCTGATTTTGGCCGCCCTATGCCATGTGACTGACAGCATTATGGTCTGAGAGACATCAAGCTTGAGACCCCAGACTTGACTATTGAATACACCTTTGATGTGGGCCTCCAAGAAGAGTCTTAGGTGGCTCAACTCTTTAGCTTCCTTGACAGGCAGAATCCCTCTTTGGAGAGTGTGTACAGGTAATTCACAAATACCTACATTGAGATTTTCTGTGGCAAATAGATCATTTTAGGCTGTGTTTACCCTTCCCGGTCTGCTTGCTGTTGCCTACTTCCTCTAGTCATCAGCTGGAATCAGCTTGGAAAATATATACTCATTTTAATATCAGTCTGAGAAAAGTGAATTAGTGGGATAGATCTGCTGAGGTTCAAAGGTAGGGTGTGGATGGGTCATATAATGTACTCCAGAATGCCTTTTGGGTTATCAGCTGGCTTTAATAACCTCCCATGTCTGTTCTCCATGACCTTGAGTAACTGAGGGTACCTTATTTAGCTTTCCTATCTCTGGGTGCTTTGTCTCCTTTCTTCTCCACTCGTCCCTGTGTGCAGAGCAGATTATAAGCTGTCTGCCTTCTAGCATCCTATCAAATTTCATTTACATTGGATAACATGGGATTTTAAAAAGATTCCAGGTCCTTTTCACCAGCTCCAAAATCATGTTGGAGTCGTAGTGGCCACAAGAGGCTGCACCTCAGCGGCCAGCTGCTCTCAGGCCAGCTGGGCCAGGGTTAGGGTGAGCCTTCCCTCTGGAGAGCTGAGCAGGGAGCAGGTGATGAGACAGGGCATGGCTGCAGACAGCAGTCAGGGATTTTTACTTCTGGGGGACCTTTCATACTTGTGGCTATAAAGTGTCTGCCCCCCACCCAATCACCTGGGTTGGAGGCAGGATGAGACTGAATAACAACAGGACCTCTGCATTCCCAGAAGTAGAGAAGGGAGGGGGCAACTGGGATGGGACATGAGGGTGAATTGCAGGCAGTGGATAGAAAGGGTGATATTGGGCCGGCCCTGTGGCTTAGCGGTTAAGTGCGCACGCTCCGCTGCTGGCGGCCCGGGTTCGGATCCCGGGATCGCACCGATGCACCGCTTCTCCGGCCATGCTGAGGCCGCGTCCCACATACAGCAACTAGAAGGATGTGCAGCTGTGACAGACAACTATCTACTGGGGCTTTGGGGGAAAAATAAATAAATAAAATCTTTAGGAAAAAAAAAAAGAAAGGGTGATATTGCTGAGGAGGTGAATAATGGAGGGGACAATAATGAAAGTTGTTACCTTAATGTATGCCCCAAAGTTTCCCCGAGAGTCAGACTGGCAGAGTGGAGAGAAGGGTACAGCATGTGGAAGAAGCTTACAGAGCCGGCTCTGTCCTAGAGAGCACACTCTAGTGCAGCACTGTCCTATAAAACTTTCTGTGATGAGGGAAATATTCTTTGTCTGCGCTCCCTAATATGATAGTCATTAGCCACATGTGGCTTTTGAGCACTTGAAATGTGACTAGTGTGAGTGAGGAACTGAAGTTTAAATTTTATTTCATTTTAATTAATTTAAATGTGCCTAGCCCCATGTGGCCAGTGATTATCCAGTGGGGGCAGCGTGGCTCTAGAGTCACAGTTGACACAGGTGAGTGGAGGTGGTCTCCTACAGTGGTTTAAAGCACAGACTCTGGGGCCGGCCTCGTGGCTTAGCGGTTAAGTGCGCGCGCTCCGCTACCGGCGGCCCGGGTTCGGATCCCGGGCGCGCACTGACGCACCGCTTCTCCGGCCATGCTGAGGCCGCATCCCACATACAGCAACTAGAAAGATGTGCAACTATGACATACAACTATCTACTGGGGCTTTGGGGAAAAAAAAAAAAGAAAAAACGGAGGAGGATTGGTAATAGATGTTAGCTCAGAGCCGGTCTTCCTCAGCAAAAAGAGGAGGATTAGCATGGATGTTAGCTCAGGGCTGATCTTCCTCACACACACACACACACACACACACACACACACACAAAGCACAGACTCTGCAGTCAGGCAGTCCTGGCATAAACCCTGGTTTGCCTTTTATTAACTCTGCAACCTTGGACAAGTTTCCTAACCTCTTTGAGCCTATTTTCCCATCTGTAAGATGGAGATCATAACAGTGCCTATATCACAGAGGGCTGCTGGAAGGATTAATTGAGAGAATCCATGTAAAACTCTTAACAAAGTGCCTGGCATCTATGGAGCTCTCAGTAAATGGTTGCTGTTATGATGTTTTGATGTTAAGATGTTATGATGTTTAGTCCTATCTTATTTTCCTGTGCTTTGGCCCTAGTCACTGAACACCAATAAATCAACCTACCTTGCTAGTGCCTAGAGGTGTGAGGATAATGACATCTGCCCTTATTGACTCCCTTGAGCTCCATAGTAAAGGATCTGTTATTTGATTTTGCAACTTTATTGTGTCTGAGCTCTGAACGAAATGAGATTTTAAAATGAAAGAAAAGATGAAATAGTCAAGGTCAGAATCATAACATGAAAAAAATCACACGTCCCACATTCCCAATTTCCCATTCATTGAGCAAGCATTTACTGAATCTTTACTGAGCGACTAGTGATTACAAGTACAGACTCTGGAGCTAGACTGCCTGGGCTTGTATCCACTACTTACTAGCTGTGTGACCTTGGGCAAGTTACTTAGCCTCTCTGTCTCTATTTCCTTATTTGTCAGTTGGGTACAATAATAGTACCTACCTCATAGGGTTGTTGTAAAGATTAAATGAATCAATACATGTAAAGCACTTACAGAATTGCTTGGCACTGATAAGCACTTGATAAATATTGGCTGATGTGATTACTCTATGCTAGGCACTATATTAAATGCTGGAAAAACAAAGATAAGTAAGTACCATCCCTCACCCCATTAAGCTTAGAGGCTAGTAGAGGGAGAAAGATACATGAACGTATAAATACAATAAGGTATTATAGACAGTAAAGATGGAAGCATGCACAGGATACTGAGGCAACATGAAGAAAGAAAAGATCAAGTTGGCTTGGTTGGAAGGCAATCTGGAAACTTTTCATAGAGCTGGAGAACAGGTGGTGGTGGGGTGCATCGTAGGTACATGTTTGCAGACATAAACAAGGATGATGAGTCCATAGAACTAAAGGCAACTGATAAATCGATATGTCTAGGATGTATGAGAGAAGGAGTAAGTGGAAGATGAGGTTGAAAAGGTCAGCAGGAAGCAGGTTCTGAAAGACTTTATAAGCTAGGTTTAAGAATTTGTACTTTATCTTGACCAATGGGAAACCATCAAAGGGTTTTAAGTAGGGAAGTTACTATGATCAAGGCATTTTTAGAAGGACCCCACTGGCGGCAGTGCGGGGCAAGACCGGAGGCAGAGATACCAGTTAAGGGACTATTGTAATAATCCAGGCATGAGACGGTGAGATTGATGAATTAAAGTAACTATCATGGGGATGGAAAGGTTGGGAATGGTACTGGAGATGTTAAGAGATCCAGTCAACTGATGAATAAGTGATAGAGAATACAGAAGGAGGACCAGTTTTGAAGAGGAAATCTATGGAGTCATTTCGGGGCATGTTGGGTTTATGTAAGACAGTTTGATAGTGGTTCTGGAACTGATAGAAGAAAGAGGTGAGGACTGGAGACACAAATGTGGGAGATATTAGAATTCTGCACCAGGCCCCCTTTTTTTCTCATTCTCCACTTTCGTCTTAGGTTATCTATTCCCAAGGCTTTAAATACTGTCTTTATGCTGCTGAATTTCAATTTCCAAACTTCCGTCTCTAGCCCTGACCACCTCACTGAGGTCTAGACTTCTATAACCAGCCACCTACTTAGGATCTCCACTTGGATGAATAATACACATCTCAAATTTAACATGCCCAAAACTCAGTTCTTGAAGCAATCTCTGCCTCCACTTACTCCTCCCCTAGTCTTCTAGTCTCAGTGAATGGCATCCACCATCTGTGGCTGTCTAGTTATTTAAGCCAAAAATCAGGGGGATCAAACACTTTGTTCCTTCAAGTTGCTTTTGTAGGCATTCCTTCCTCTGCTGTCCCTTTAGAATCTCATTTTCTCTTCAGGCTCTCCTTGAAGTGATCCTGAGACCATACATTTCCACGGCTTCAACAACCTCCATCCATATCCTGACTCATTCATTCAACAAATATTCATTGACTATCTAGTAGGCACTGTGCTGGATGCTGGAGATTCAGCAGGAACAAGGCAAATAGAGTCACCACTCTCACGGAGCTTACAGTCGAGTGGTGAGGAAGACATATAATAAACAAGCAAACCAATAAATGAAACAATTTCAGATGATAGTAAGTGCTAGGAAGAAAAAATAGGGTGATGTGATGAGAGACTGACCAGGGTCGGGGCATACTTGATTGGGATGACCAGGGAAGGCCTCTCTGAGGAGCTGACATTGGAGCTGAGATTTGGATGATGGGAGAAAGAGCATTTTAAGAAAGTGCAGAAACCCTCAAGAGGGAACAAATTATAGCCGGGAGTGTAGCAGACAAGGAGAGCAGGATGGGATAAGATCAGAGATTTAGGCAAGGTCTCTATCTTATTAGGTCAAAGTAAAGAGCTTAGATATTATACAAAATGTAATTGGAAGCCCTCAGAAAGTTTTGAAGCAGGGAGACTGGTATGATCTGATTTACATATTTAAAAGTTGGCTCTGGCCATTGTGTGGAGAAGGGCCTCTGCAAGCAGGGAGACCAGGGAGGAGACTGTTGCAGTGATCTAGGAGAGATGATAGTGGCTTGGATTATGGTGGAGGCCAAGGACATGGAGAGAAGTGGAGAGATATGAATATGTTTATTGGAGATAGAACTGGCGGAATTTGCTGGATGAGGAATGGGAGATGAGGGAGAGGAAGGAATCAAAGGTACTAGCACAATACCTAGTAGGTGCTCAATGAATATTTGTTGAGTGAATGAGTCAGGATATGGATGGAGGTTGTTGGAGCCGTGGGAAACGTATGGTCTCAGGATCACTTCAAGGAGAGCCTGAAGAGAAAATGAGATTCTAAAGGGATGGGCAGAGGAAGGAATGCCTACAAAAGCAACTTGAAGGAACAACTAGAGTGGTAGGAGGAGAAACAGGAAAGGAGGAGAAACAGAAGGCTTTCCCACTTCCCTCTCCAGAAGTAACCAATGCTAACAGATGGGTGGGTATCCTTCCAAATCATCTTCTGTATATTTACGTACATTCACAAATGTTTATATAACATACATATGTAGTTTTGATTTTTATATAAATGAGCTTATAGTACATACATTATTCTATCGTTTGCTTTAAAAAAAATAACAGCTTTTTGGAGCTTTAATTCACATGCCATACAATTCACACATTTAAAATGTATAATTCAATGGTTTTTAGTATATTCACAGATATGTGCAACCACCACCATAGTCAATTTTTAGAACATATTCATTACCTCAAAAAGAAACCTTGTACCCTTTAGCTCTCGCCTCCTTATCCCCAATCCCTTGACCCCCAACCCTAAGCAACCACTATTCTCCTTTCTGTCTCTACAGATTTGCCTATTTTGGACTTTTATATAAATGCAAGCATGTAATATGTGGTCTTTTGTGACTGGCTTGTGTCATTTAGCACAATGTTTTTGAGGTTCGTCCATGTTATAGCATGAATCAGAACTTCATTCTTTTTTACTGCTGAATAATATTCCATTGTATGCATAGACCACATTTTGTTTATCTGTTCATCAGTTGGTGGACATTGGGTTGTTTCCACTTTTTGGCTATTATGAATAATATTGTTATGAACATTCAATTACAAGTTTTTGTGTGGACATATGTTTTCATGTCTCTTGAGTATATACCTAGGAGTGGAATTGCTGGGTCATATGGGAACTCTACGTTTGACATTTTGAGGAACTGCCAGACTGTTTTCCAAAGTGGCTGCACCATTTTACATTCCCACCAGCAGCCTATGAGGGTTCCAATTTCTACACATCTTCACCAACACTTGTTAATATCTATCTTTTTGATTATAGCCTTACTAGGGGGTATGATATCACTTGATTTTGAAATATGCCTTGAATATTTTTCCATATTGGCACATATAGATTTCTTGCACATTTAACTGCTATGTAATGTTCCACAGAGACTGTGCTTTTCAAGATGATTCTCTCCATATCATTGTGTTAGTTCCTCCCCCAGGGGTCAGCAGCCTAGAAATAGAAACAGCAGTGGTGGCTGATTGTATTAATCCGGATTTGGAAGTTGTGTGGCAGTTAAGGCCGAAGGATAAGGTGAAGAATGGTATTGATGGTAATGCTGAGAAGTACTTGAAGTGAGTTATCAACCCTGGTGCATATCAATCCTGCATAAGTGACAGTGACAAGGAGCTGGAGTGGATGGTATAGCATAGCGGTTGGCACCCTCTAAGTAGGGGTTTTGCGTGATGGTGGAAAGATAGTTTTTTGTTTTGTATTGCTTTTACCCATTTCCTCTGTTTAGTTCTTCTTTCCTTTTTTTTTGATTGCATCATTCACTGCTTTTCCCTCTTGGATGATTCAGGACATAATATAACCTTGTTTTGTGACTCAGAGTGGCCATTATGACCATCTGCTTTTGTCCTGGACCTCTGAGGCATGCAGGAATATGTCTTTCTCTATTAAATGGGTCCCAGATTTCTGTGGTTTTGAAATTCTATCGCCTTCAACTTCCAGCTTTACTCTTTTTGGTGTCAGAGGCAGAGATCAGTGTATTCTAGGTTCTTCTAACGTACAGTTGTCTGACCAAGGACTGACTCCATGCATCTCCTGTGAAGTTCATGCGTCTTGTGGTAGCGATTTTACATGCTGTTTATAGATGCTTTATTTCTCTTCTAGGTTTGTGGTTATATTATGGCAGAGGTTACGAGAAATCTGATCTCCCGAGAAGTGTTGGTGCTTCTTTAATTTGTTATAAACTATTTTTGGCAAGCTAGTTTTCTAGCATTGAAGAATTTAATGAATAAGTTTGTATTCACCTTATCCACACTCTTTTTAGTGGTAGAGACCTGCTTTGTCCAATACAGTAGCCACTAGTTACATGTGGCTTTTTAAATTTAAATATAAATTAATTGAGTAAATCAAATAAAAAGTTCAGTTCCTCAGTAGTACCAGACACATTTCAAGTTCTCAGTAGTCACATGTGGCTAGTGGCTACCATATTGGAGAGCACAGGTGTAGAATATTTTGATCATCACAGAAAATTCTACTGGACAGCAGTGGTCTGGACTTTGAGCCAATATCCTCTCAGGTTTTACCTTTCCAGTCTGGGGTCTCATGTTTTTAGCATATCCTTGTGTAGCAGCCATGCTCCTCCTACTCTACAATACCCCCTGACCTCCTACCCTTGATCATGTTACTTGCTCTCTGCCAGTGTATTAGTTTCCTGTTGCTGCTATAATGTTACCACAAACTTCATGGTGTAAAACAGCACAATTTATTATCTTATAGTTATAGAGGTCAGAAGTCTAAAATCAGCCATTTCCAGCTTGTAGAGGCCACCTGTATTCCTTGGCTCATGGCCCCTTTCTCCACCTTAAAGCCAGCACATAGCATCTTCAAATCTCTCTCTCACTCTCTGACCTCTATTTCCACAGTCACATTGCCTTCTGTGACTCCCACCCTCCTGCCTATCTTATATGGACTCTGTAATTAGATTAGGCCCACCTGGATAATCCAGGCTACTCTCCCCATCTCAGTAGCCTTAACTTAATCACGCCTGCAAAGTCTCTTTTACCATGTAAGGTAACATATTCATAGATCCCAAGGATTGGGACATGGACATCTTTGGGGGATCATGATTCAGCCTACTGTAACAGGCAGTCTTCTCCAGTGGCATCTTGTTTTCCTTGAGGACCATTGCTGCACACAGTATGCCACACAGTGATATCCCAAGGTTTTATACAAAAGGAGGAGAATTTAAAATCTTACTTTATGCCTCCATTCTGTCTGGAAATACCAAATTTTGGTTGTTCTGACTCCTCAAAATATGATCCTATGAGTACAGTGGCATAGGATATCTCGCAGGCAAGACAAATCCACAGTGAACTCAGTGTCCTATCAGAGTGTTTGCCCCACTGTAACACAGTTGCTATTTCAGGGCTGATTTCTGCCAGCCTTTCTTCTCAAAAACAAACAAACAACACAGAAACAAAAACCAAAAAACTGAGGCTTGATGTATTAACCAAAGCAAAGCCTTCTGAGCTTCTCTTTGCCCAGAAAAGGGTGGTGGACGAAAGCCTGAGTCATTCTTAGGAGAAGCAGCATCAAAAACCAATGCAAAATTGGTCTACTTCCAGTCTGGACAAGATGGCATAGACTCATTTCTCCCTGCTCCTCCCAGCTAAGTATAACTATAAATCCTAGAAATAATTCAAGAGGCAACCAAAGGAGAATTCTGAAAGGTGTAAAGAGGAAGGCAGAATGGTTAGGAACCCCAGGACTGGAGGAACACCATAGTAGCAGGATGCCTTATGACTCCTCATCCAACAGAAGAAGGTGACCCAGGCCCAGTGTTTCCCAACCCCCACCTAGCAACAGATGGTGGCTCAGGTAGGCTCCTTCTTCCTCTGGATTAAATGGGAGTCCTGCCAAGAACACCAGGTGAGCCTGACAACTCTAGCAAGGGGAATCTAGCAGGGAGTCCCACTGACAATAAGCAACCAGGGGAAGTGCTTTCCTTTCCCACTAGGTCAGAGACTCCCCTGCCCCACCGAAAGATACTATGCAACTAGGGCACCATCAAGGGGAAATCTCACCACAACAAGTAGTCTGGCCAAAGAAGCCTCTTTGTCCCCAGGGTCTCAAGGGTCTCCTCTCCTCGTGAAAGATACCAGAAGGGTATACAGCACTGGCAAGAGGGATTCCACCAGAAGAAGCAAAGCCAGGGAAGATTCATTATTTCCACAGACTAGAGACTCACTTCCTCTACCTAGAGGCATCAGGCAACCCAGCCTGGTGAAGCACCTTCTGCTCCCTCAGGCAGCACCAGCAGGGACCAGTGGGGGCCCTGTCAGCACCACATTAACTAAGCGGACCAAAATAGCACCACAGAGGCTCTGAAAAGTAAATCGTCATTGAAATCACAGCCTACAAAAGTATGTCAGGACCTGTGTGCTAAACCTGAACAAAGTGACTGCCTGCTAAAATAAATGATTTAAATAGTCTCCTAACATAGTAGCCAAAATGTCCAGAATACAATAAAAAATCACCCATCATACCAAGAACCAGAAAATCACAACTCAAATGAGAAAAGACAATCAACTGACATCAATACGGAGATGAATCAGATGTTAGAATTATCTGACAAGGATTTTAATGCAGCCATCACAAAAATGCTTCAATAAGCAATTGCAAAGTCTCTTGAAGCAAATGAAAAAATAGAAAATCTGAGCAAAGAAATACAAGTTATAAAAAAGAATGAAATGAAAGTTATAGAAGACTTACTGAAAATGTGTAGAAAACTTACTGAAAAATTCTGAAAAATAACAATTTAAAAAAAAATGTGCTGGATAGGCTCAGTGGTATAGTGGAGATAACAGAGGATAGAATCAGTGAACCAGAGGATAAATTAATAGAATTTACTCAATCTGAACAACAGAGAAAAAATAGACTGAAAAAAAAATAGAGCCTCAGAGACCTGTGGGAAATAACAAAAGATCCAACATTCACATCATCAGAGTCCCAGAAGGATGCTAAAACATTTGATAAAGCTCAACATTTAGTCACGACAAAAACTATTAGTACACTAGGAATAGAGAGGAACTTCCTTAACCTCATAAAGAACATCTACAAAAAATGTACACAGCTAATTTTATACTTAATGGTGAAAGACTGAATGCTTTCCCTCTTAAGATTGGAACAAGGCAAGCATGTCTTCTCTTATCACTTCTATTCAACATTGTACTGGAAGTGCTAGCCAGCACAACAAGGCAAGAAAAAGAAATAAAAGACATATAGATTGGAAAGAATCAAGTAAAACTGTCTATTTGCAGAATGCTTGTTGTCTACATAAAAAATCACAGGAAATCTAAAAAAAAAAAAACCCTTCTAGAACTAATAATTGAATTCAGCAAGGTCATATGATACAAGATCAACACACAAAAACCAATCACATTTCTATATACTAACTGTGGAAATCTAAATAAAAAACACAATGCTATTTATAATTGCTTCAAAGAAAATGAAATACTTAGGTATAAACTTAACAAAACATGTACAGGATCTGTATGCTGAAAATTACAAAACGCTGACGAAAGAACTCAAAGACGACATTAATTGAGAAACTTATATGTTCATGGATTGGAAGACTCAACATAGTAAAGATGTCAGTTTTCCCCAAATTGACCTATAGGTTAATGAAATCCCTATCAAAATCCCAGCAAGGATTTTTGTAGATATAAATCGGCTTATTATAAAGTTTATATGCAAAGGCAAAGGACCTAGAGTAGCTAAAATGACTTTTATAAAGAATAAACTGGGGAGAATCACTCTTCCCAATGTGAAGGCTTACTATTTAGCTACAGTAATCAAGACAGTGTGGTAATAGTGGAGGGTAGACACGTAAATCAATGGAACAGAATAGAGAACCCAGAAATAAACCCACACAAATTTGTTCAACAGATTTTTGCAAAGGTGTAAAACCAATTCAGTGGAGGAAGGATAGCCTTTTCAACAAATAGTGAAGGAACAATTGACATCCATTGGCAAAAAAAGGGAACTTTGACCTAAACATCACACCTTATACAAAAATTAACTCAAAATGGATCACAGACTTAAAGTGTAAAACTATAAAACTTGTAGGAAAAAAAACACAGGAGAAAATCATCATGATCTAGGGCTCAGCACCAAGTTCTTAAGCTGAACACCATAAGCATAATCCATAAAAGGAAAAATCTGTTAATTGGACTTCATCAAAATTAAAAGTTTTGGGGCCAGCCTGGTGGCATAGTGGTTGAGTTTGCATGCTGCGCTTCGGCTGCCTGGGGTTCATGGGTTTGAACCCCGGGTGCGGTCTTATACACTGCTCGTCAAACCACGCTGTGGCGGCATCCCACATATGAAGAATAGAGGAGGATTGGCACAGATGTTAGCTCAGGGACAATCTTCCTCACCTAAAAAATAAAAAAAATTTAAAAAGTTTTGCTCTATGAAAGATCCAATTAAGACAAGCTATAGACTGGAAAAAATATTTGCAAACCACGTGTCTGACAAAGGATTTGTATCTAGAATATATAAAGAACTCTCAAAACTCAAACAATCCAACTAGAAAATGTGCAAAAGATATGAACAGACGTTTTACTAAAGAGGATATACAGATGGCAAATAACACATGAAAACATGTTCAGCATCA